CGGGCTATTCGCCATAGCCCGAACATCTCCCAAAGCTGGCCGAACGGCTCAGCTGAGCCTAAGGCATATGCTTTGGTTTGACTGAGCCGAAATGAAACCCAAATTGGCCTCGCAACTGACAGCTAGGCGGACCAGTTGCAATGACAGATCAGCATCCGCAGGTTACCAGGGGACACTGAACTGTCATTAAACAGTGACAACTTGGGCGAAGCCGGTCGTGACGTCATGGCCGGCTCCAATCTAGTTGTTATTCATTGGCTAGGACCTGCTAGAAGACTCTAGCAAGTCCCGGCCAATAGGAAACAGTTGGGCGGAGCTAGCCGTCACTGCTAGCACCGCCCAATTGTTTCTTTATTTTTTTTAAATGTCTTCTTTTTTCAATAATCTTCCTTTTTGTCTTTTTTCAATAATCTTTAATTTTTTTTCTTTTTTTAAAATCGCTATTTTTTTTAAAATGTATCATTTATTTACATTTGTTAAAGGAGAACTATGGGGTTAAGTCTTTTCCCCATAGTTCTCCTTAGGGTAACGGGAGGACACAAACTAGCGTCTTCCCGTCACCCTAGGCTCAGTATACCGCGAGCTGTAGCTTGCGGTATACTGAGACGCCGCAGCTGAAGCAGATCCCGACAATTGTGCCGGGATCCGCCCAGCTGCGTGACTGACAGCTGGCTCTGCCTATCTAAAGGCAGAGCCAGCTGTGCCCGCCCCCTCCTCCGTTCCGCCAGTCAGCGCTGGCGGATCGGAGCGGGGAGGGGGGAATCCAGCCCCTCCCCTGTCACGGCAGAGAGCCGTGACAGGATCGAGGGGTGAGCGAACGCCGGTATGTGTTCGCTACTGAGCCGACCTGTGACAGTCTCATTGTCACTGGTCGGCTAGAACTATGAGGTGAGTGAAAAGCACTCACCTCATAGTTCTCCTTTAACCTTTTTTTCTACTTATTTTCACTGTTTTTCTATTCTGCTCGGTACCACGAAGGTACCGAGCAGAGTAGCCGAGCTGATTGCCGCTCGGCGGTACTCAGCTATTCACTCACTGGCGTTCGCCTCCTATGAGAATAGGCCGAAAGGCAGCGAGTAGATTGCCGGAGTTTCAGCTTAACCAATCCAGATGTTGGATCGGCTGAGTCGAACTCCTTCTGCACTTCGGCTCAGCTAAACATGCTGAGCCGGTTTGGCTGAACCGAAGCAAGCCGATGTACACCTGATGTACGGCTGAAATCAGCCATCAAAGCCTTAAGTGAATTGCAGGACTCACTTCACTTCGGCTGGGTTATTCACTCGGCCGCCTTCGGCAGCTTTGTGAATAACCCCCTAAGTATCACATTTAGTGACAGTGACATACTTTGAATCCCCATGAGGGGGTTCAATAAAAAAATTAACCCCTTAGGGTGAAAAACAAATCTGGAGCTCAGCTGCATATTTTCATTGTAAGGGGTTCATTTTTATAATAATGATAGCATAAAAAATATATTTAAATATATCATTTTATTTGTTAAATTTATTTATAATGTTTTTTAATACTTTTTACTATCTTTTTAAAAAATATATGAACGGGAGGACACTAGTGTGTGTGCTCCCGTTACCCTAAGGAGAACTATGGGGAAAAACACTGACCCCATAGTTCTCCTTTAATCTCACTATTACTGCTTGATCATTTTTTTAATACATTTTTGGTTATTATTAGGCTGCTTGAAACTTAAGAACAGCCAATAATAACCTTAGTGACACTGATCCTGCAGCATTTCAGGATCAGATGCCACTAAAGACTTCTAATCGTTCCCACAACGATCAGAAGCCTGCAACATTGTTTTTGCAAAAGAAACATTCTATTGCAGAAACTTTACAAAAAAAAAGCCAGTATACATCAGCTCTAGAGTGGTATTCACAAAAGAGCCTAAGGATCCAGCCATAGCTTCGGCTGATCCTTCAGCTCTCTTCGGCAAACGGAGCCCTTCGGAATGTTAACAACAATTAAAAACATTCTCAAGGCCCTGCACCCATTATGCAATAACTATACATCATACTCAGTCCCTAGATACATCTAAAAATCTGTAAAAGGCACACATTTTCTCCATCTTAGAGGAAATTGTTTAGGTGTAACATCCAATATCATAGTGCTCCTTTAAAGGTGAGAGAAATGAGAAATACTTTTGAAACATTGACATTTTCTGATAGAGGATGAAAAAGTAAAAAAGTAAAGATACATTTGTTCATACCACCTTTTCCTCAGAAAAGTGTGAAAATCTGTAACCTAAAGGAGTATTTAGGAGTAATGGATGCACTTTGATTTTGGTCTTAAAGCGATATTAAAGTCAAAATGTTTTGAAGCTATTTTAAATGCTGATTAACCTCCTTGGCGGTATTCCCGAGTGTAGCTTGGGGTTACTTCTCCATAATATAATATACCTTGTCCCTCGAGCCGTGCGGTGTCCTCCGGCCGGCGCCGGCATCTGTCTTCCGGGTTCCGTCCCATGCGAGCTGACGCGTCGCATGGGGGCGGAACCGGTGGGAAATTCTAAAAAAAACCCGGAAGAAACTACAAAATAAAATAACAAATAAAATCCGAAAAAAATTGCGCTGAAAAAATAACGAAAAGCGAAATAATCATACCGCCAGGGAGGTTAAATCACTTACAAGGGATGCTGCTTCTTGATGTTTAAAAGGTCTTTGATTGTAAGCTCGTTTCTGTATGTCAATGATGCTTGTCAGTGTTTCTTACTTGTCTTATCTAAACAATTGTACAGAGCGGCAGAATATGTTGGCGCTATAAAAATAATTTGAATTTTAGCTTTCTACAGAATCAGCTGGTCTCCTGAGAGCTGGCCCTGATATCCTGTTTTAGGGTGGCTCCTTTCCTTTGCAGGGTCCTATGGAGCCACACTTGTGTGTGCTAGGTAAGTTGTCCATGTCTCCACAAACACACAGACACAGCAAGGCAAGCCACTCCCCTGCTTCTTGGTCTCCACTTCTCTCTTCTCCAAGATAGTAGATGGACAGCTGCTTTAGACTATGCTCTCCCTTGTGATCTTGTACTGGGCAAGAAGTTTAGTGAAGCTGAGCTGAAAGAGTTGAGGTCAGCTGTTTATAAACATGCTTGGGCAAAAATGTAAAAAAATACAAGGTTGAGTGCTTATTACTACTTTAACCTTTATTATTTGTGTTTAACCAGTTGCCATCCAGTGTAAAAACACGGGCGGACGGCGGACTCTTCCCAGCGGGTGGATGTACATGTATGGGATTTTTTTTTCTGTGGGCACGTGCGAGCAGAGTTCCACTGGGAATCAGCGTTAGGCTGGCTCTACAGCCAACCGATCACTTGTATGACTACATACAGTGTGCAGCCCCCTCTATTGCCGTGCCCCCCTCAGCTGCCGCACTCTCCCCCTCTGCCGCTGGTTATTTCGGGCTCTGCTGTCCCCCCTGCTGACCCGGGACCAGTACAGCAGCTGCCTATATTGAAAACAGAGGAGAGATCAGCATTCTCCCACTGCTGATCTCTCCTCTTCTCTAAGGCCCCATTCACACTTAGTGACACTTACCTCGAGCGGATCCGCGCGGCCGGGATAGTGTGACTGTTCAGGGCGACGTTTCAGCGACGATCGCGCGACCTTCACCGTCAGGTGACATAGAGCTGTTCAATTGAACAGCTCCATTGAAAATCATTGGATGGCGACTTCTCTGTGGAAATTGCGCGATTAAACGCCCAGTGTGAATGGGCAATAAAGGTGGAAGCGATGCGTATTACATCACTCCTGCCTTTAGCTGTCATTCCTCTGGCTGCTATCAGATCTCTGCTTCATCAGCTTCTTTGGGGGTCCCCAGGTGACTTTAGGGGTCTTAGAGACCCCTGATATCTCCATAAAGAGGACCTGTCATTGTATATTGGCTATCACATAGGATATCTTTTTATCCTCTTATGTCATAGCAATAAAGTTAAGTGTAAACAAAGTAAAAGTGTAAAAAAAATACTTAAAGTCTCATATAAAAAAAAAACACCAAGAAAAATGTAAGCCCCCTGCCGCCGCGTGCATGCATGTAAACGGAAATACGCGACAGGTGCGCCTACATGCGAAAACAACTATTACACCACACATGTTACATATCGCCGCAAACGTCGGAGTGAGAGCAATTATTTTAGGGCCATTTATCACTGATAACACTAAACTGATGAGCGGCAAAAGCTTTTAAAGTGTCGCCTTAGGCCTGGTAGTTTTTTGTGATTTCGCAGGCGCACGCAATTTTAAGGTTTGACATGTTTGGTGTCTATTTACCTGACGTGACTCCATCTTTTATATTTTACCAAAAAAATGTTTTAGAACATAAAGAAGGGAAAACAGGGTTTTTCATTATATAGTAAAACATAAAAACCCCAGTGGTGATTAAATACCACCAAAAGAAAGCTCTATCTGTCCCCAAAAAATGGTATAAAATTCATTTCAGTACAGCGTTGCATGATGGAATAAATGTCAGTCAAAGTACCGCAGCGCTGAATACTGAAAAATGGCCTGGACAGGAAGGGGCTTTAACATCGCGGTCAGCAAGTGGTTAATAAATGCATGGTTTTATAGGACACATCAACTTTCAGTATATTCTTTTTCTTTATTCTGTGTAAAAAAAAAATCAAACCATAGTAGTCCCAAAGTGCATTTTGTTTTGGAGCAGTAACCAAGCTTCTTATAGAGAATAATGTATAGATACATGTACATATAGCTTATCTCTTCACTAAAATGTTAGGATTATCCCACTTGATAGCTCATCACCTAAAATTATATTATTTGTATTTTTCTCCAATCACTGCCAGATTGTCTGTGTAGCCTTACTTACTGTTTTAAATTTTTTTTATATCTGCTTGTAAGCTCTAAAACAATTAAGCTTTGGAGCCAAATCAGCTGTGCTGGGGCATATATCCTTGGACATCTTCCATACTAATCGCTCCATTGTTCTGTTTTTTTTGTTTTTTGATTTTTCAGCTTCTCTTCCTGTTAGTTATTCTACCACTTTCTGTCCTTGTGAATCTTATGAGAATGAGCAAACTTCGAGAGAATATTCAGATTACATTACCTGTAAGTCTACAACTAAGTTCAATGTATTATTCATCTTATACTACTATGTCTCCTATCATTTCCACAGAAGAATATCAATGATGCATATTTCAACAGCTGTTTTGTCTTATTTCTGCTCCTAGCTTTGGAGCGGTGCCACCTGTATTTACGCCTATCATAAAAAATGACATTAATACTAGCGCTAACATATGTCAGATATAGACATGGTGATTCATTCAGGAACTCATACTAATAATTTTGCATACTATGCTCCATTGGTAAAGAATGGGTGAACAGAGACATTGATATAATGGTCCTGCATAAGAAAAAAAACAATTTTAGGAGTAAAAATGAACTGTGAACATTTTTAGTGAGAGGAGACAGGTCAAAAAGCATTTCAGAATAATTTTACACCTTTTAACCTTAAAAAAATACTTTGCTAACAATTGAGAAAGGGTCTTAAAAGAAGCTCTGATAGGCATTCTCACAGCAGGACTACCTTGTCCCATCACACAGAGTTGCTGCATAATGTATCTTGTAATAAGAAGTATACGGCAAATCACTGTTATAAGAAAGTCAGTCTTGGCACAGCTCTGCTGTAAAATCAGACAGAAGTTTGCTAGGCTAAATTTGTTGGAATGGAGAGGTGAGTAGTAGGTAAAAAGAGAGCAAGTTACAGATAAAGGTCTCTTTTTAGGTGCTTTTTACCTACATTATAGCTAATTTATTTATTTATTCATTACAGGTATTTATATAGCGCCGACAATTTCAACAGCGCTTTACATAGTACCCATTCACATCAGTCTAATAAGCCAATAAGAAAAACAAAAGAAATACTAAACAAGATTAGAAAACATAAATATGAGTATTGTACTGTGTTAAATAGTTTTTAATGCAGC